TCAGGAGGTCGTTCATCAGGAGGTCGTTCATCAGGAGGTCGTTCATCAGGAGGTCGTTCATCAGGAGGTCGTTCATCAGGAGGTCGTTCATCAGGAGGTCGTTCATCAGGAGGTCGTTCATCAGGAGGTCGTTCAGGAGGTCGTTCAGGAGGTAGTTGAGGAGGTCGTAGCCCATCGATCTAAAAACAGCAATGGACTATGATTATATTTGGACTATAAGCTCATGCACATACATGGCTTGATCAAGCAACTGAATTTGTGGAGAATATTGGAAGTATTCTACAATAAGCTGCCGTGGTACTGTATGTGTCTGAACTACATGAAAAATATATCTCAAACGTTGTGGTCTAGTGTAGGTAGTATTCCACAAAAGCTGCCGTGGTTTGTGTCTGAACTACCTGAAATAGATATCTCGAACGTGGTGGTCCAGTGTAGGTAGTATTCTTCAATAAGCTGTCGTGGTTCGAGTCTGAACTACTGAAAAATATATCTCAAACATTATGGTGCATGCAGTGTAGGTAGTATTCTACAAAAAGCTGTCGTGGTTTGTGTCTGAACTACCTGAAAAAGATATCTCAAACGTGGCGGTCCAGTGTAGGTAGTATTCTACAATAAGCAGTCGTAGTTTGTGTCTGAACTACCCGAAAAAAATATCTCAAACATTGTGGTGGTTCAGTGTAGGTAGTATTCTACAATAAGCAGTCGTAGTCTGTGTCTTTACCCGAAAAAGAGATCTCAAACATTGTGGTGGTTCAGTGTAGGTAGTATTCTACAAAAAGCCGCAGTAGTTTCATTCCGTTGTATTGTCCATTGCAGTTATAGGGGGCAACAACAACAAAACAAAACAAAACTTACGATCTGGCGAAGCTCATTATGTAAAACGTGTTGTGTGTCCAGTTGAGCTTGTTGTTGTTCGTTCTAAGTGCATATAACAGAAAAGAAGAATGTGTACAAGTTAGTTTGTATAGCGATAAGTATTTTCATTGTTTTGCTTTCTGTTAGCAACCAGAGCTAAACTAACTTTATTTATGTGATGCACATCAAACTTTGTATTCAGAAAACGTCTGAACGTTATTTAAAAAATTATTTATACTAGATAACTCTATATACCGATTCGAAAACTACTTGCCACTACTTTACATTTTCAACAGAGACTGCTTATAATATTAAAGTGAAGTGTAGGCAGGCAAGGATTACCTTCAGTTGGTTAAAATTCAGGTGAAAAAATGTTGCCAACTACTTTGCGAATCGACAAATTAGTTCTACACTATTTTTCCTACAAGTCGAGTAAAAACAATCCCTTTATTGGATTAGTGTTATTACTGAAGAAAACTCTATCATGGGGCATGAATTACAATACTGTAGTCAGCTGACTTAATTAGCTCTGTGTTATGACTTCATGAATTTTCTCCAGTAAAATGAATTACTATATCAACAATAATGAAGTTATTTGTCCACGACGGGGAGTTTTGTATTTTTTACTTTTCAGCGACTTATTTCACTATTTAAAACGTGGTGGTCCAGTGTAGGTAGTATTCTACAATAAGCTGCCGTGGTTTGTGTCTGAACTACCTGAAAAAGATATCTCAAACGTTGTGGTTCAGTGTAGGTAGTATTCTACAATAAGCCACCGTAGTTTCATTCTGCTACATTGGCCATCTATTGCAGCTACATTGCAGTTATAGGGGGTGACTAACAACAAAACAAAACTTACGGTCTGGCGAAACTCATTTATTTGCGTTGTTCCTGTGTCTAGCTGAGCCGATTGTGTAGCCAGTTGAGCTTGTTGTTGTTCGTTCTAAGTGCATATAACAGAAAAGAAGAATGTGTACAAGTTAGTTTGTGTAGCAATAAGTATATTATAGTATTTGTCTTGGTTTCTGTGAGAAACCAAAACTAAACTATAACTCTTATTTATATGATGCAAAAATTGTTCAACAAACTTCGTAACGTCTGAACTTTATTTATAAATTTATTTATACTATTGAGAAGTCTATCTACAGATTCGAAAACTACCTGCCACTACTTTGCAACTACCTGAAAAAGATATCTCAAACGTTGTGGTCCAGTGTAGGTAGTATCCTACAAAAAGTTGCCGTCGTTTGTGTCTGAACTACCTGAAAAAGACAACTCACGAACGTGGTGGTCCAGTGTAGGTAGTATTCCACAATAAGCTGCCGTGGTTTCTGTCTGAACTACCTGAAAAGATATCTCAAGGTAAAATTTGTGGTCCAGTGTAGGTAGTATTCCACAAAAAGCTGTCGTGGTTTGTGTCTGAACTATACCTGAAAAAGATATATCAAACGTTGTGGTTCGGTGTAGGTAGTATTCCACAATAAGCCGCAGTATAGTTTCATTCTGCTATATTGGCCATCTATTGCAGCTACATTGCAGTTATAGGGGGTGACTAACAACAAAACAAAACTTACGGTCTGGCGAAGCTCATTTATTTGCGTTCTTCCTGTGTCTACCTGAGCCGCTTGTGTGGCCAGTTGAGTTTGTTGTTGTTCATTCTAAGCGCATATAACAAAAAAGAAGAATGTGCACAAGTTAGTTGGTATAGCAATAAGTATATTATAGTAATTGTTTTGCTTTCTGTGAGCAACAAAACTAAACTAACTTTATTTATGCGATGCAGAAATTGTTCAACAAACTTTGTAACGTCTGAACTTGATTTATAAATTTATTTATACTACATGCAGACAACTGTATCTACAGATTCGAAAACTACCTGCCACTACTTTGCAACTACCTGAAAAAGATATCTCAAACGTTGTGGTCCAGTGTAGGTAGTATCCTACAAAAAGTTGCCGTCGTTTGTGTCTGAACTACCTGAAAAAGACAACTCACGAACGTGGTGGTCCAGTGTAGGTAGTATTCTACAATAAGCTGCCGTGGTTTCTGTCTGAACTACCTGAAAAGATATCTCAAGGTAAAATTTGTGGTCCAGTGTAGGTAGTATTCCACAAAAAGCTGTCGTGGTTTGTGTCTGAACTATACCTGAAAAAGATATATCAAACGTTGTGGTTCGGTGTAGGTAGTATTCCACAATAAGCCGCAGTATAGTTTCATTCTGCTATATTGGCCATCTATTGCAGCTACATTGCAGTTATAGGGGGTGACTAACAACAAAACAAAACTTACGGTCTGGCGAAGCTCATTTATTTGCGTTCTTCCTGTGTCTACCTGAGCCGCTTGTGTGGCCAGTTGAGTTTGTTGTTGTTCATTCTAAGCGCATATAACAAAAAAGAAGAATGTGCACAAGTTAGTTGGTATAGCAATAAGTATATTATAGTAATTGTTTTGCTTTCTGTGAGCAACAAAACTAAACTAACTTTATTTATGCGATGCAGAAATTGTTCAACAAACTTTGTAACGTCTGAACTTGATTTATAAATTTATTTATACTACATGCAGACAACTGTATCTACAGATTCGAAAACTACCTGCCACTACTTTGCAACTACCTGAAAAGATATCTCAAACGTTGTGGTCCAGTGTAGGTAGTATTCTACAAAAAGCTGCCGTGGTTT